TTTTGGAGAAGGCGTTGCCGCTCTTATCGTCCATGGTATTTTGATTCTGGCGTCGCGGTCAGGAGACATTGAACGAGAGGGTTTGCTGCCTTTTGTTTTATTTATCCTCTCTGCCTGACGGCCAGTTCTACACAAACGTGCTTCTCGGCACCTCAGTTGGTGCTGGCGGGTTTGCTCACAGTTGTCACTGGCAATCGCATGCGCCAACTCTTTTCTGCTCCTTTTTAGTGTCGCATTTTTTTATTGATTGACGGACGCCATTCTGTCCGGCGTGCCACTTTGATTGGATTGTGTGGGACTGCTTGCCAACGCCATCGGAGAAAACAGGCCGACTTTTTCACGTATTTAATTGCCACCTTGCGCGCAGGTATTTTTTTCACATGTTCTGTTGATGTGCAGTCAAACAGCGAGGGATTTGGAACTATGCGTGCGTGGAATTCTTCCTGCCATGTGAGCTGCGGGCAACACCGAGGGACTACCACTTTGACTCCGCAGAGTTGTTGTGTCTCTTTGCAGGGTTGGCAGGGAAATTCCATGCAGCCTGCTACTGCTGGTGTGTCCCCAAATTTTGTCACTCCTTGGGAATAATGTGCTTCAGCGATTGAGGGTGTTGATTGGGTTTGTGTGCACTCTGATTGTGTTTGCTACTTTGTGCGGGCACGCAACACTTGAGTGGTGGGAAAATGGAGCGGGGTGATGCCTGGCTGCGTCCCGCCCATTGTTCACTGCACGATGGTGTGGTGCACATTGTGGTGCTGACTCTGCGATGTGACTGCGGTCCCCTGCGCCGCAATGGTGGTGGGTGGAGGAGAGTGTTGACCCGCGGCGGGACGGTGGGATCGTGCCTCCTTTTCTCTTTGTTCCTTCCCCTTTGTGAAGGTGTGCACTTATTTTTTGTGTTGGTAATGGGGTAAACAGACCGACAACGTGAATAAAACAAAATAAAAATGGGCGATAATGTGGCGGTGTTGGGGTTGGTTGCACGCCTCGTGTTGCTGCGGGGGCGGTGGGCCTCGACTGTTTCACCGACAGGCGTTGCAGTGCGGCCGCATGGCGCAGCGACCACCGAGCCGTGCGAGTGCCACGGCCAACGCCACTGGGACTGCGGGACGAAACAGCCGCGAGTGTCCTTTGAAGCCAGCGGCACCTGCTGGCCGCAGTTGGGCGGTGCGAGTGGGATGCTTCACCGCACGGGTGTTGTGATGGCACCTCGCCGTGGCTCTTGTGATGGTTTTGACGCTGCAGCTCGACATGTGGTGGGGAGTGAATTGTGGCCCCAGTGGACCATGAGCAGCACCAACGTGAGGCTGAGTGATTTCCTTTGGAATTATGTCGGCGGCAGGGCGGCCGTTGATGAAAGACTACAATGTGACGATGGAGATGTTTGTTCAGGAGCTGGATGATTACGTACAAGACCAGCGGCTTCTTGAAGAAATTCTTAACTTCACTGCGTACCAAGCGCTGGAGGCCATTACTAAGCCTCTTCACGAAGGTGTGCTTTCTCTCGGGCAACGTAGGGACTATGAAAGAAAAGGATACGATCACTCCTCTTGCAAGGGGAAAACCAAACGGGGTACTCACGCAGGTACTGACAGAAGCGAGGCGGGAGGCAGAGGGAAGGCTAAGACGAACGCAAGAAATGAAATTTACCATTTCCACTAATATCGAAGATGTACATTTTAAGGGAAGAGCTCGCGTCAATGAAAAGAAGCTGAACGACTTTCTTACGAGGGAACTGGACGGCAGGGGCATTGTGGACACCAATCGGGATGTCTTGCCGGAGGAGTTTTTCAAGGACCCCACGAAGTATATCCGTGATAAAGGAGCGTTGAACGAAATACAGGCATCAGGTCATTATTTGGGTATGAAGCGAGCTGTAAAGGGTGAAGTGATCTTCGATGGGGATATACGCAAGCTTTGCGATAAGGGTGTCAACAATCTACCGGGGTGGTCGTTAGCTGCTGCGGAGGTAAAAGCAGCTGTTCATAACTCCACCAAACATTTCTTGGATGCAGCTGCCGAGGAGGCGAGGAACCCAACGACGACGAGCGCACCGGAGAAACTGGAGGGATGCTACGAGTCTGTGCACAATGCGAGGTGGAGCCATGCGGTGGAACTTCCGGACGGCGTGGAGCAAAAGAAAACGGGGACGGGAATGGGGGTGCATGAGGGGAGGCCAGAACAGTCATGGACGTACAAGAAAGCTGACGACGCTATCGAAAAGAATGACGCTGTGCAGCAATTCGGTGCAGCACCTCCCGTGCTGATGGTGCTCGCCTCGGAGAAGGGATGGCCGTACTCGCGGAATACGATGCAGGATGCTCCTAAGGACGTTTTTGTAAACTGTGAGGTGGATCGAGTGTGGCAGATCGTCAAGGGCGATCTAACCGCGTGGTTCAGCCCCCACGGCGGGACCGACTTTAAGCCCGAGCGACGTGTGTTGATTGGGACGCCCGGGATCGGGAAATTGGTGGCTGCCGGCTCGTACCTCCTCTACCAGCTGCCGCACGACGATGCCGAGAAAATCCAAGTGGTAGTCCACTGTTTTGGTGGAGGAGATGCGTACGTGTCTGACAAGACTACCAGAGCGGTGACAAGGTACGGCGATGAGGACATGTGCATCTCGGAGTTGAGAAGTTTGAGGGGGCATGGGAGGAATGTGTATATTATCTACGATGTGGCAAAGGAGGGAACGCCGCCACTGAGACATTTTGCGCCTACTTCTGGATGGGGCATGATTGCGGTGTCATTCCCAAAGGTAACCAACTATGATGAGTGGGCGAAGCAACTACAAGCCGCGCGAATCATCGTGAATTGCCCCGACGAGATGGATGTGAAGGCGATGTGTGCGCCTGGATAACGCGTGATGAGACTAAAGAGAAACAAGCGGAATACTGGAAAGAGGTCAAAAAACACATGTATCTTTTGGGACCGATTCCACGTCACGTCTTTGATGAGGAGGCGTTTAGGGAACGCTGTGGAGCGGTGAAGTTTGCATTGCAATCGATCAACGAGGTAACTGTGAAAGAGTACTTTTCACGGGGAGGTGAGTCGCCATGGTATTCTGAGGATCCGTCCCACAAGCCTGTGAAATTTGTTCGGGAAATATACGCAGGCGGTGTGACCCTTTTCAATGCACCGATATCTGCTTACCTCGAGGAACGGACATTGGAACGTTTCCCAAGTGTAACAAAATAAAATAGCTTTTTGAGGCTGATGTTGGCGTCGAAGGATAATATTTTGCCAATGTTTTTTGGATGGTTTGCTTTGAAATCGTTCACGGAGAGTGCCTTTGTCAGGGTAATAGCGACGAAACTCACGGAGTTTGAGCCGCCAACAGGACGTCAAGCAAAGCCCTGCGTCTTGAAGTTGGCCCCTGAACCGCATCCCAAGGGAGATGAGGGTTTGCTGCCGAATGAATATGAAAAAACGATCCGTAAAATAAAGTACGGCGTGCTGTGCAAACCGTGGGCCACAAACTTTCCGCTGGTGGACGCCTTTTTTTCTTGGAGCCCAATCCAATGACTCTGGTTGGGCTGCGGATGACTACGGCGGGTGGGCACCACACGACCGCCAGCACTGTGAGGCAGTTCACTGAGTGCCTGGCGGCATATTTTAATGGTTGGGAGGAGTTATCCCGAGACATGTCGTGGGGGATTATTTATGTGCAGCACCCAGACAGCACGCCGATGACTGGCTGGCAGAGATGTGATGTCGAGAATTCCAATAATGCGAGCGACGAGAGCCGTGAGACTCGGTGTTCTGGGAGGAAGAGGTGCGCCAGTACCAAGTGTCAATATCGTGCAGAGACTTTAGAAGAGACGAAGCTTTCCGAAGTGTGCAAAAAAAACAAATAATAATAGGAAAATAGATTAGGAAATTGAAAGTGAACGAGACAGTTCGATTTGTGGTAAAAAATATTGTGGGATTTATGTATTTTTGGATGCTTGTGTCCGAGCATGCGGTGCGGGTGCACCAGCCCCAGGCGGCAGCACCGCACACAAATGCCAAAATGTCCAACGCTATCGAACATAACAGTGAAAGAAGAAATTGGCGAGGGAGTGGGGTTGTTTGGTTTCTGGTAGAAAAACATTGGGTGATTTTTATATATTATTTTGATTGTGTGTGCATACGAGGCGTAATTGGAGAATTGCCCCGGTATGAGAGAATCATTGTGGCTGGCGGTGTCACGGCGTTACCGCATTGTCCATTTCCTTCTATTGTGTTCGAAAGCCCATCACTAACAGAAGCATCTTTAAGGGATGGACGACGAATAAGTTCTATTGAGGAAATGATGCGCTCCGTGCGACCGCATGGAGTGAGGCTCCGTGTCATGGCTGGGTGAGGATCCGCTTCCTCGTGTGGCTCTTTGGGTGATTGCTAGCTCCGTGTGCGTTGTGTGCCGGCAGCTGGCTGTGGCTGTATACCGTTGGCCGTGGGATTGAACTGGAGGCGGTGGCGGTGTGTCTCTTCTCGTTCTTGTCCATTGGTGGTTGATTGCTGGCGGTGTGTGCGTTTGTTGTGTGGAGGGCCGAATCCTCTCACCCGCGGACTGACGGCACTGCGATGGTGTGTGTGTGTGAGGGCTGGTGTGGAGTCGCTGGCCAGGGCGAGGGCCTTTGGCGATGCTTTTCCCGCCTGTCTTTTGTTCCTTCCGTGTGTTTGTGCTGCTTCTTGCTCTTTTCCCCTCTCACCCTCTTTTCCTGTGTTCCTGCGTGGAGTGGCCGCATGCTCACGGGCCATGTTGATTGTGAGTGCCTCTTGGCGGCATCCATTCATCTCCCTCCGCCTGTCTGTCTGTCATTCCCTGTTGGGTGTGGCGTGTTGCACCGCGTGAGGGCTGGCCCGCAAACACCGACGGCCCGCCGTGACTTGCCGTGTTGCTGCTCTTTTCTGTGGG